GAGGCCTGGTCCAGAACAAGCTCAAGTGACAAGCTGGAGCTGACCGAGCCGCCGCGCTCGTCAGCAGCCGCCGCGCTCGTCCAGCAGGCGCCGGCCAGACTTACAACGTCAGTCCGCCCAACAGCGCCATCCACCCCCTGACGCCCACAACGTCTCCGTCATCGACATGCCGGACGAAGCTTGAGGGGGGGGGGGGGAAGTGTGGGCACCCTGGCGGCTCCCCAGCCAAGTTGCCCGACTGCGAGGCAAAGGTGCCGAAGTTTTCCCGCGTGGCGGCGACGTCACGCCAGCCACGCGCACATCGGATGCGCCGCCTTGATAAGGCATATCAGAGGCGGCGCACAGAGAGTCGCTGCCTGGACTCCGGCATCGCCGGTAGCAATGTTAATCGTCTTGTCCATGTCCAATTAAATGTAGTTTCTTGTTGTTGAAACTGTTGGCTCCGTGTTATTCCTCCGGGTCGGGTATGCAGCAAGGCAAACCGACCACAAGTTCGACTGCTTTTCACTCGAATAGAGTGAAAGAAGTTCGAGTGTCGTTTATTGCTCGGAAGCTAAACAAAAGTTGCCCCCCCCCCCCCCCCCCCCCCTCCCCTCCCGCGGCTCTTAGAAGTTTGGAGTTCTTTTCTGCGACAGTTAGGCCGGGTTAGCCTGGCGACCCCTGTTCTAGGTGAACTCGTAGTGGTGAAAGTGGTCGCAGTGACCTTCTCGTTCTTGGAAAGTTCGTCACAGACTTTTTTTAGAGTGGGAGGGGAAGGGGCCGGGGGGGGGGGGGGGGGGGGGGCTTTATTTTAGAAAGTGGTCGCATCGAACTTGTCGCAGTTTCAAACTTGGTCTCTCTTTTGCTTGTTTGCAGGAGCGGTTGTGGTCGGCTTTTCGGTGTTATCTTTACTTACGACGTCCCTTTGTTATTAAACCCTTTTCGGAAGCTTATTGTGCAATGACTAAACAGGGGTGCGGTATGCCGACCTCCGCACCAGGATTTTAGGAAGTTTAGCAGTTAGCTTTCGTCTTTCGGGGCGTCTTCTCTTTTCTCTATATCTACTCCAAAGGGGTTTTTCATTCGAAGTGGCTTCGAATACGTATATGTATAGGGGCAAAATGTGCGGACCTTGAGAGAGCACGACCGCATTTCGTATGATGGACCGAATTAAAACCCAGCGTGAAGTTCCCATGCTGTGCGAGGGGTATTCTTATACGCTTAGCCGAACAGACCCCGACGGTGTGCACTGGGTCTGTAGAGATAGAAAGCATTGCAAAGGCCAAAGCCATCACCCTCAGATGCACTATGACGACTTACTTTACTTGATGAGTTTACCTATGACGAGTTGGCTTGTAATCAGTTCTCCTAGACCCAATATTTTCATGTTTCAGAGTGGTTGTCACAATCGGTCATAGGCTAATCAGTTTGCTTCCCTTGATAGCACGAGCGCGCACACCAAACCAAAGCACGGCGGTAGCTACCGTGCGCGTTCTTTACTTGTCCCCGACGATATACCACTCTCAGGTACGGAACAGCCTGCGATATTTACACCCCAGCAGGTGCGTGTTTGTCGCTTCGGAAAGCGAGCAAAGCACGCGCCATACGCCCAAACCCGCACAAACTCTTCGAGATGGCAGCTGGAGCTCTTTTTGAGAAAAATCTATACAAGACCATGTCGTGCTTTTATTTTTAGTTGTAAATTACTATTTGTCATCAGTTATTGAAGCCGAATGGCAAACTCAAGATCGGCGAAAAAGGCAAATTGTGACGAAATAGACAAGTGCGCAGTTGCCCTCTGTTACGACTTCCCCGTGTACAAGATGCCCTATGACGACTTGCACTATTTGACGAGTTTAGCTATGACGAGTTGGCTGCGACGAGTTGGTTTGTGACGAGTTCTCCTAGACCCGTCTTTTGTATAACGTATAAGCAGTGTGACCCAGGCTTATTTGTGATTCTAGCACAAGGAAACACCGCAATATGACACGCAAACATTGCGTAATAAATATTAAAAAAACATATTAAGAGAAGGACAACACGGACTGCACTATATGGTATCAAACCTCGTGCTCAGGCTGAAAAAGCTACGTCAAACAACAAGTTAAGATTTAAAAAGAAAGGGAAAAAGTGCAGAATGATTTTTTTTTTATTTAGGGAAATCCAACATTTTTTATCTACGGAGCAAATTTTTTTTTCTTTTTTTGCAGTTTTATACGTGCTACATATTGCAGCCAAATATATCAAAAGGCGCGTTTGTAGCGCTAGCCGCCACATGTCCAGATGGATATCTCAAATTAGATAAGCATCACAACTCGTTTATCTACTTCCCCAGAGCAGCTGTTTCACCGTTCTACCCCAATACACAAAATTCTTGAGGTATAAGTTGCAGTGACTCGACGTAACGGGACTTTTGCTTGGACACTTCTGCCTCGCACCATGCTGCCGATGACTGGGTTGAGAGCGCCTCCCCGCCGAGACACGCCGCCTCCTTCTCTTTCTCCGATTACGCACTCTCCGCACGAATGGGACGACCGGAGAAGCGTTCGCGCGCTTCGGGATTTCGGAGGCCATGACTAAATGCCTGGATAAATGTGCAATGACCGAGCTTTGCTTCTTGAATTGGTTGGTGACCAGCGGTACCTAGTTCAAGCGTTATAAAAGTAAAGACAATTTTTTTCTTGCCTTTGATTTTTCTATTTAGGTTTTCGCTTTATGAAGGTAATCCTAAATTGGACCAGGGGTCCCGGCCCGCGGAGGCATTCCAGCCGGCCCGCAGATGGCTGCAGTGTTTCCAACGCGCGTAAAATCTCACGTGTTGCGGCTTAAAAAAAAATTCCGTGTGTGGCACCGCAAAAGTAATGCCATAATTACAATCATCATGATCACACTCCTCTCCTACGCCAATGATTTTATTTATAATCACCACACACCCGACTTAATTTTGCACCAAACAGATCAGTAAAACAGTCTTGAGACGATTATTTCCCCGCGAAGGAGCTTACGGGTTTGTCTTGTTGTAAATGCATATGAACAGCAACCATATAATGACGATTAATATTAAGAACAGTCTGTTGTCAGGGTTTCTGAAGCTAAGATAAGCACACACTTATAACCTTACTATCGTGCTTATTCTTGGTGAAACTTGGGTCACTACCGGAAAGGAAGCAAATCCCTCTTGCAGAAGTTCAGTCGGCCACCGCTGAAATAACACACCCAAAAGTAAGCTTTTTCAAGTAATATGATTACTCGTAACGTGTACCGTGCAAGTGCGCTTCCAACACGTTGTTCGCAGACGTGCCTGCGTTTCCCCGCACCAGGTGTGGGCATTGCGCTTGCGCAGAACCAGATTCGCGTGACGTAAATCGTTCGCGCATGCGCAGTGGCGACAGCAGTGCTACCGCAGTGGCCTGATCGACGTCAAAGAGTTTAGTTTGTACCGCAGCCATTGTAAGCGGACCACGTGATCAGGAACCTCGCTGCCATCGATTTCCAAGGTCACGTGGCATTCACCCGGCACTGTAATAGCTTCGATGGCTCGTAGCGTGCGGTGCATCCTAAAGTAAAACGGAGTATAGATCTCTACCGCTCCTCCGCGGACTGGTGCGGTAAGTCTACCCAATAATTCAGAGCGAAGTATATGTGTAGCGTCAAGGTTTACGCGAGACTGCTAATACACCATACAAAAGATTCTGCAGTCTGAGGGTGTGTCTTTTTTATATTTAGGTCCTGTCATATTGCTGATACTAAAGCTGTATTGCAGACATGATCGAAGCAGACATTTCTCAGAAATAAAGAAACATGGTTCGAAGATTCTTGAATCGTGTTCGCAGATCATCCTTGCATCACGTCTGGAGCGATCGCCGCGTTTTCGGTGTGATGCGTGAGCGGTGCAAGTGCAACTATGCGGAGCGCAAGTGGGCAGGTATTGGGGTGACGTCAGAACAACGCCGAGCTCTGATTGGCTCCGATTAGAAGGACAGTGGGCAGACATCGAGGCAGCTAGTGTGGAGGTCTTCCCTTTACCCTTTCACGAGAACCAATCAGTGCTCGCCGTTCAGACGTTGGTGCAACCCGTGCGCAAGAAGCGGACGAACTCATCTATCCAAAAGTGTCCACAACCACTGCGGTTCGGCGTCCCGCTGCCAGAGACACCAAAATAACTGCATATCACTCAGGGCGCCTTGATTGATGACCTTTCCAGATATGGAAAATCACTGCACCGAATCAGTGACACTGTGTTACTCGATCCAGGGACACAGTTGGTTGCAATTATAGAGTTAGTATAATAATCTAGAGGGGGAAAAGTCCCATGCGTTGGGGCCGCTTGGGAGCGGCGGTGAATAAACACGGACGTCGGCGGTCCAAGTTGGCGGTCCCGATGGCTTCGTACCTGGCGACGCATTAATATGCACAAAGTAGCCGCAAAATATCACACGTAAAGTCAGTACCTCGGTACTTTTTATAGTTTATTTTGCATGAAAACACCGGATTCGCGCACTGTACAAAAACGAGTCAAGTTGACAAGCACGAGAAACTGCAACTCATCGCGGCAAAACGAATACGCCGAACCTATCGTCTTCTTTCTTTTTCTGCTCTTCTGTCGCTCTCTCTCTCTCTCTCGGGACTGCCGATGTCAGCGCCCAGGATTTCCCACGTTCTGCTACCCGTCTTTACCGCACTGGTTGCAATGTAGCAAGTCCGTAAGATTGGCTGCGATGACTCGGCGAGTACAGCAACCGGCGAGTTTTCTTAGGCGTCAAAATTAAGAGTTTCGAAAAAAAAGGAAAAGAAAAAGAAAAGAAAACCGATTGCACGATATTTTTAAGGTTGAGACCGAAACGTCCCGAATAATTCAACTACAGTCCGTTTCATATTCAGACCAACCGCAGCCAACGCTGCGATCCGATTTAGCCAATCAGGCAGCGTCGAAAGGGCATCGTCATGGCGCTTGTCGTCTTTCTGTATCGTCAAGACGACGAGCGCCACGAGCACAAAAACTTTGGAGATTGGCGGTCAGGTGCAAGCGGAAGCCTTGTCGAGGGTCCGTCAGTGGCGCGCCTTCCAAAACAACCTTCAGAGTTCCGTGAGGAGTGCACTCTCTCGAAAACTGTTCTGTTTGGTCAGGACACCGGCTTTTCGCGCCATCGCGCCAAAGAGCGAATGGTCGTCGCCTAGCAGCTGATCCACTGGACCATACTCGAGCACCTTGCCATCACCCATCACCAGGATCCTGTAAGAGGCGAGAGAAGCACTGACTTTAGGAAGCGACGACAAACAAACAAGATCAACGTTTGTGATTAGACGCTTTTGCCTTTGAGGAATGGCAACAGCGGTTTCCGCTATAGTGTATAAATTTAGCCAGTGCACTAAAACTGCTGGCCAGGGTTCCTTGACGTGCATCGCGCAGTATTCACGACTCCAGCGACCTATGAGGGACGCCACTATAGGGCGAATACGGGGGTGTAATACGGGAGGAGCCGTGCCATGTGCCAGCTCAACGCACAGCGCTGGGCCATCAGCAAGCTAGCATTGGACTGGCCCCGCTTTTTATCCTCTACGTTTCGAACCTGCGGCGATGTTGTTGGCGTAAGCGAACTTCCAGAGGCTTGCCTTTCTGTGAGGAAGCGATGAAAGAACTGCCTACCCTCCTTCCGCGGTGCGGATGAGTATTAATAAACGGGGAATGTCTGGTTCACGCGGTAGCGTAGCTTGCGTGCAGAGGAAACTTCGAACAAGCTGATACTATGGTTACGACAGAGTCCCCACGACAACTGTTCTTTCGCGCACACCACCGGCAACATATAATTACTAATGCCGCAAGAGACGAGCAGACATCGCAAAAGGACCTGTTCCGGCCCGTTCAGTGTTTTCCCGCTAGGTGCCGTCCATTTTGCTGGAGTTACGAATAGCGAGGCATGACCACATGCGGGTATGATGCCCATTTAGGTAAAAACGGTAGGGGAGGGGATTGAATCTGCAGGATACCTAGGTTATGCAGCGTGAGGTTTGGTTCCAGGTGCTCCGAACTGTGGTTCACAACCACACTCGACCACCGATGGTCAAACTCACGCTCCAAGAAAGTCTAAAAAAATTTACATTGGACTGTAGGCCAACCGGCGAGCAAGCCCAACGAAACGCGTTCTTTCGCGTATGGCATCGCTAATGATGACGTGCGTGACGAGTGCGACGACGCTGAATCGCCTCAGATGCTTGCTTTTTGCCACTGGGGAACAGACTCCACGTCGGCAGTGCTTTCCTCCGACAGTTGTTTGTCGACAAAAACAACTGTTCCCTCTGAACTAGTTCCTCTCCCTTTTGTCGAAGGCCAAGTCGTTCTTAGGGAATTGGTGGATTTCCTAAAGGTATAAAAAAGGAAAGACGGCCATTGCAAGTGAGAAAACGACGCCGGTTGTTTGGCACCCGAATCCTCGACCCTTACGATGCACTGCTCCACCTGTGCGAGGAGCATCTAGACGAGGCTCTTGCTCGATTGATTAGAAGGGACAAAGTGTGCAGGGAGAAAGGCAACCTTTGCGTCTTCCCCACTGTCCCTCCAATCAAAGCTCGGCACTGTGGCGTCACCGCACCCCCAGCGCAAGAAGCAAAGTTTCTCGCCGTACACACCAACACACTATTTACAAACAAGCCCGCGTTTGCCAGATCAGTTATGGGCACTGCGATTGCGCAGAAACCGAATTCGCATGAAGTGAAGCGTCTGCGCTTGCGTAGTGCCGACAGCAGCGCCACTGCAGTGACGTGACGTCAAAGTTGTGTTGGTGCATAAACAGTGAGAGGGCACGCACTTGTCGTAGTCCAGCACGGTGTGGATGCGGTGTGCTATGGCCAGGAGGGTGCATCCAGCAAAGCTCTCCCTCAGCGTCGTCTGGATCAAGCGGTCTGTGTCCCCGTCCATCTGGGACGTGGCTTCGTCCAAGAGAAGCACCTTCGGCATCCGGATCAGCGCCCTGGCCAGGCACACTAGTTGCCTCTGTCCAACACTGGAATAAAGTTGGAGCGTTCATCACGTACCGCAGGCTAAAACAGTATATAAATCACCCTGTGCTAATCATCACGCAGATATAATTTTAAATGCGACAGCATTTCTGAGCAAACGTTCTCCGCGCTTTCGTGTCCGTCCTTTTGTCAATAAACAACAAAGCCACCATTGGCTGTTGCGGAGAGACCACGTGTTCCGCGGCCTCTCCACCCCACGGGAGAAGCTCGCGTTTCTCGAGATGTCGCAATCTTGCTGCCGAAGCGCAAAAGCAACAGCGACTCGGCGAGGAGAGGCAAAATGCTACAAGAAATCCGTCGAAGCGAACCCAAAACAGGAACTTCGGCTGCGACGAAGGGAAGCGATTTCGGCTATAACGCGAGCGGAACGCCGAGCAGGCGAGGTGAGCACCGCCAATGGAAAGGCGCCATAAGGTGAGAACACAAATGTGTACGTGTTGGTCAATAAGCACTTTAAAAAACATTTCCTCAACGAGTCGTTTATTGTGACGTGCAGCGTGTGCGACCGTCTTAAGTTCCATTTGTACGTGAGCTCTGTGAAGGGCCGCTTCGCAAGAGTGCTTTCAGCGGCGTGCCCCGCCAAGTCGGTACACACCTTTGTAGTGCGCGCAGCGTGCAAGACGAGCCTCAACGTAGGTAAGTTTCTCCATCTATACTGAAGCAACGAAGTACACGACGATGCAAAATGCTTGAACATGTTTCGAAAAAGCCGAGACCGCAGTAACGACACACACACTCAAAAGCCTCAAATGAGACAATTTGAGTCTCAAAAGTCTCAACTTATTTAGACTTTTGAGCGTGCGTGTCATTACCTGCAGTCTCGGATTTTTTAAATAAGGTTTAATGTACTCCAGCTTGTTTACGCCCTTACATTTATTACATTTATTGCCAAATGCTTTCGTATTTAGAAAAGGCAGTCTGCACAGCGCCTTCGGCAACCGTTTTTTTTTTTTTTTTTTTTGCAACCGGTTTTTTGGTCATTTTTGAATTTTTTTGAATGACCTTCGTACGCTTGGCTGAGCCTCCAAGAAGAAATTATTCTGCTGTAGGTTCCCAAAATCTTGATCAAACGCTTGATATCATCGAGTTCATAACGTCTTTACTGTCTCAGTAATGGAGGCGCGCAGTAAAATTGGAGTAGCTAGCTTGTTTCTTCGCAATCAACTTGGTCATGGGCTTACCAATGCGAGTAATGAATGCGCATTGTTAAGACTGTAGTAGCGTAGAACCGAAAACACGGCATCGTTTTATCCACAGTCTTGTTCATAAGTTCAGAAAGGGGGTCTCCTCTAGCTGCGTCGTCACGTAAACTGGAAGTTTACTTTGAGCGTTTCTTCGGAGGAGTCAAGTGAGCCCCAAACCAGACAGGATTTCGTAACGCGGTTCGAGGAAAAACTACGACTCCCGGGACCCGTTGCCGGTCGAAAGTATGCGGTTTTGTTCGGACAAGATCCCTTCCAACTTTAGTAGATTAGCTCAGTTAGGGAACTGCCCATAGACGCCGCTTGCACGCCCCTTCCCCCCCCCCCCCCCCCACCCCCCCCCCCCCCCCTCCCCTCCCCTCCCGTAACATGGTAACTGCAGTGCGTTCTTGAGACTATGCACGTTTCAAACCACAGCGTCTATAGACGCTTTGCAGCAGCTGTGCATGAACGCCGCCATAACTGACCTTCAGTTTTTGTTTCCTTTTATTTTGTTTATTTTGCTTAATCATTACCATAGCAGGCCAGGTTATTGCCACATTAGATTCAACTGGGTCCTTTTCTAAAGCATCGGCCTTTGTAGAGGATCGTCAACTACCGTTTCAGTTGCTCGGCTTTTCGGTAAGACAAGAGAAGGTCAGCAATGGCGGCTCTAATTTGGCGCGTGTGTAAAGCGTCTATACTCTGTTTCACCTTATGAATTTATGATGTACCGCAGGAAAGGCTACAAGCGCGAGCTCCTTGCTGTAGGGCACATCTCGGCGGCACAAGCTCTCGTGTACCAAGAGCAGCTGCCAACGCTATGAGCTCGCGCTTGTAGCCTTCGCTGCGGTACAACATAAGGTAAAAAGGAGTATAGATGACGTTTAACCGTACTCGATAGAAGACACAGTTTTGAAACGAAAATTTAAATGGAGCTTCCAATTACAGGAGTCAGAGTGAAGGGAGTGAGAGGGAAGGGGGGGGGGGGGGGTACTCCCTCCGCGGGTGTTCCACAACAGGCAATTCGTCTGGGCCCGCACCGCACCGGTGCCGTGCGGTTCGTGGTACACGGAAGGCTATAGGGGAGAGGGAAGCGTCCTTCTCTCCCCGCCAACCTTTCGTGTATAAAGTGGAAAGAGTTTACTGCACTGGACGGGTGCGGTGCAGGCCCATTCGAATTCACGGTCACGCGCCTCGTCGGCCTGGTTCAATCTCGACCTCTTTTTCCCCAAATGCGGCCGTCCATTCGAGATATCGCCTCTCGAGTAATGTTGTAGGGATTGTAGCGTCCCGCCTACATCTCCTGCATTGTTTTTTCTGAAATCCAAATTTCGGTTCACCATTCCTTTAAGCATCCCTTTCTTCTCTTGTAGGGTGGCGAGAAGTGAGGAGCGCACTCCTCCTCCCGCTCCCGTCCGGTCGTTGCGGGACCCCGAAAGTTGAAATTTATGCAACTCCGAATCCGACAAGCGGAAGCCGAAATACGTCACCAGTGATATTACACCCACGAAAAATACCAAACAAATAAAACATGTCTATCTTGTGCTGATCCCAAACCGAAATCATGACGGGTTTAAACCACATCTAAAGGGCCCTCCAAACCGGCCCGCAAAACATCTCCGGAACGCATGTGGCGTCAACGGTTACGATTACGACGCAATTAATTCGAAGGCGCAAGCGAGCTGGGCAAGAATGGCTATAATCCTGGAAAAGGGGAACAAAGGGGACAAAGGACCAACACAAATCTCCAAACACAGCTATAGGTGACTGGCGCGCTACCTAAAAAATCCGTCTGGTCCGGAATCGAACCCGGGACCTCACGGGTTCGATATCCGGACCAGATGAATTTATTCGGTAGCGCACCAGTCACCTATAGGAAGTATTCACTGGCGGCCACAGCTGTGTGCGCGACTGCTGAGCGCGTGCTGATGGTGAGCTTCCACAGTTCTTCTGTAACGAGCATTCCGCACCCTCAAGATAGCCGGTCTTAGCAGCCTATTAATGTGTGCTCGTTCTGAGCATGTGCTCTAGACAGCACCCACAAATATGGCGCCCAGTGAATACTCCTTAT